CTTCGGGGATCTGCGGGGCACAGGCAGGGACCTGGCCTCTCCCTGGTGCCCCTGAACCTGGGTGACGCTGAGACTGGCTTTCTGACTCAGAGCAACCTGCTGAGTGTGGCCAGGCGCCTGGGCCCTGACTGGCCGGCTGTGGCCCTGCACCTGGGCCTGCCTTACCATGAGCTGGAGCGCATCCGGCATAAGTTCCGGTGAGCCCCTCCTGCTTCTTTGGCCTTGGTGGGGTCCTGGCTGTGGGCCCTGCTTGTTCCTCACAGGGAGGTTGGGGGGCAGCACCAGCCTGCAGAGTAGGGATCTAGCCACAGCAGCCCCAGGAGTGGGGCTCCCCCTTACATGGGGAGTGAGCCTGGGACTGGTGGGTAGTGGTAGGCAGGACTCCTGTTACCACCCCTTTTCCTCCAAGGGATGACCTGGATGGGCAGATTCGCCACATGCTCTTCTCCTGGGCGGAGCGCCAGGCTGGGCAGCTGGGGGCAGTGAAGCACCTGGTGCAAGCCCTGGAGCAGAGTGACCGGCGGGATGTAGCTGACGAGGTTCGGGCTGTCTTGGAGCTTGGCCGCCGCAAGTACCAGGACAGCATACATCGCACAGGCTTGGCACTCGAGGACCCTGCCCTGCCAGGCGCCTCTGCTCAGCAGCCCCTAGAGCCTGCTCAGGCCTAGGGCACAGGCTGGGAGCTGGCCCTGATAATGCCCTGGCCCCGCTTGACAGCGCCCTTTGTGCAACAAGCTGCAGTGTCCCTTCTGCCATCTCAGCTTGGTTTATTTGGTGGAGATGTGGTTGGAGGGAGGGGTGGCCTGATGATGGAGCCCAGCTCTGCTGGGAGGGGCCCTTCCCACCATCCTCCTAGTGCTCCTGTCTCCAGGGGTGGGGGGGTCAGCTGAGCTCTACAAAGTGAAGGCTGAGGAAGGGCTTGGTGTTGCATGTCTGTAATCTCAGCACTTGGGAGGCTGAGGCAGAAGGGTCACCTTGAGGTGAGGCCAGTATGGCTATATAGTGAGTGCATGGCCAGCTTGATCTACATCGTCAGACCCTTTCTCAAAAACAAAAGTGCAGGCTGGGTACACACACCCTGGGTGGTAGGACCGCCTCAGCCTTCCCGCCAGCACGGGGCCAGCGCAGCCCAGGTCTTCCTTTCCTCTCCCCGCAGTGCCGGGCCACTCGCGGGGGTGGGGTCCAGAGGCCAGGGCGGCCACTAGTCCAGAGCCCCGCGGCGGCCGGCAGGGGGAGCCGCAGTGCGCGCGGGGC